CTTTGTATCCTATTCATTCACAAAACCCTCTGCTCAAGAAGAATGACAATACGGATTTAACTTTCGACCAAGCTCGAAGTCGGGACAAGACTGACTATCAGATGAGACGTTGCCTACGTTCGTCAGAACAAGTGTACGTATGCAATTCTCCGTTTTCAGTCGGTCAGGATTCGAATGCCGACTGAGGTCAGTTGCAATTCAGTGTTCAGTGATATATAAATGATCATCATTAGGCAGCAGAAAGCAATTTACCCAAGCTGTTATAGTTATGGATTGCTGCTGATACTGCTTCCATACCTGTAGATATTCGATGGGCGGAGGAAGCGGGAAATATTGCCCTCTTACCGTACTGCTTACCTAAACTACACAAAGCTTAATATTCTATTCAGACGCATATGAGGCCTTTTTAGCAACGGCATCGAAACTAACTGCGAAATTACTCATGCCCTAAATGGAAAAGACCCTTATATACCGTAAACCCACATGAATTCTGTAATAAACTAAAGCCGATGGAGCCTGACGAGGAGAACCTATGGTTATTGACAACGTAAAACGCTTACTTATTCATATACCTGTTCACTGAGCCATTAAAATAATCTGTAAACTTTCTTAAGAAGACACTTACTAAATAACATGGGATTTTCTTAGACAATTCTGTCATAAGGTTATGATAACCTCCTGCAGACGGGTTTTTCAAACAAACCCAAAGCAGCCTTCATGGGCAATGGATTTTTCCCCATGCTTTCCGAAATTTTTATGGCACTTTAAAAATGTGGTCCGGGACAAGAATCCACGCCTGTTTCCAACAGTTTTCGAAAAATACTTTGACGATACTTTTGTTTTCTGTCCCAGCGGGGTATAAATAAGGTACCGAACTTAATAGCTTTTTCCCTCAAAATATCGAGTTAACGGCTGAAAGAGAAAATAATTCAGGTCCACCGTTACTGGGCATCTTAATAACGAACTCTGGTAATTGCTATACAATTAAAAGTACAGCTAACTTACAAACATTGATAAATATCTATACCTCAACTCATATACTAATATAAATACTAAATTGTCTATAATTACAGCTTTAATACACATAGCTCTTAAACTATGTAGTAACGAATTTCTCAGCGAAGAAATAAAGCAACTAAATTACGCTTATATAATAATAAATATCTGCTTAAATTCGATAATTATATCATAACCCGTAGGAGTAGTTACTTTAAATCATAAATAATAAACCTTATTTAATTCTACTAAATCATAAAAACTTTGGTACAACTTACACAGAGTATTTTGCCACAAATATCATACTAATGCTCTATATAAAAGTTTTAATAAACTTCATGCGTTATTAAATAATTCTGAGAATAAAAACTCTAGCGAGAGTTTGCAGA